AGATTGAACCTCCACTCTGTGAGTGTGAGTGAGCTTTTAGAATACAGGCATTAAGGTCTATTAAGAGTAAACCACGTCTGTCCTGTATTACTACAGTAGCAAACCTAAAGCCTGGGTTTCTGGGATCACAGTATAGGAATTTTGCATAGGGAAATGCTAAGTTATGAAGGATTTATAAGACATGTTTAAGAGAACAACACTGAGTCAGTTCTCCTGCTTGTTGGCTGATGGTGGGAAGATGTTGGATTGAGGTAGACTTTGCTTAAAAGTGAGTTGAAAGTTTTTGAATTTGAAAAATAAGATTCAAGTCTTGAAATTCCTTCGATTTATGTAAAGAAGGGCTTGAAATTCCTTGAATTTTCCCGCTTTAGTGTTTGGATATTTTCGGAAATTTGTTTGACATTAATTACGAATGTTGAATTGACTTCTTTTTTGTCTTACAAAGCTGATTGAAATTCATTGAAGTTGCAAAATGAACAGTTTAACATCACTTTTTTGCTGGTTTCTGGCGCCTTTTCTTCAGCCCTTTAGTCCTTGAATTTTCCTTATACATGGCTTTTAAAAGTCCTTGAAAACTTTTTGAATTTTACTCTTCCTCTAACCAACACCCGAGGAATACTGAAACATTCACACATAAATATTTTCCCGATGTGCTATCCAAAAGATATTTATTTTAGCACCACCTTTTGCTTACAACCTAGTTTTAAGTGCTTTGAATCATGGCCGGATTTTGAGGGAAGGTGTGGGAAGGTGCGCACCTCCCCTGAGATCGTTTGGCACCTCCCCTGAAAAATCATGCACCTCTCCTTGTATAGATCAAAGTGAAAAATTGACATCTTTGGTTGCTTAGGGTCTATAATTCGTAAGAAAGTTTTGACTGTTAAATTGGAACAATGATAACCATTCTTCTATGTCCGTTATATAGCTGCACCTCCCCAAAATTTTGCCGCCTCTCCCCACTATTTCTACCAAAATCCGGCCTTGTTTTGAAAAGTATTGAGTGCTCGGTAACACAGATTTTTTGTTTCATTCAGCCATCAATATCATCTCTGATGTTTACACGTTTGGACGCAGAGCGGAATGTGAAGTCAATGAAACGAGCTGTGTTGACAAAACGTTTGTCTCAGGATTCATATAATACAGTTATTCAAGAAATGAATCAATATGTTAGCTTGCCGGGACGGCGGTTAGCTGAGCTGGTCAAGAGATACAGACATCATTGTATTATGAAGGACGTAGGTAGGTACAGCCAGGTACTTGTAAAAACAGTTAGTGAGAATCAAAGATAGCAAGCAGGCAGGTAGATAGGTAGAGAGATGAATATGTAGATATGTAGTTAATATCTATGTGGTTAAGTGCAAGCTGTTGACCGAGATGCCCTGCATGGGAACTAGCGGTGGTGCTTGGATTGAGGAAAGATCCATGCAAATGATATCCAGAGCTGTCAATCACACTCGGGCAGCTTGCACTCACCATTACAAATGGTGGTGAGAAAAGTAATAACGAGTCCACTGGCATACCTATTTAATATAGCGTGGGATGGAGGGAGTTTAAACGTTTCGCATTATTTGGATATAGTCCATACACTTTTGGTGCCAAACAACTAATTACTATAACTTAAGGTATCCGAAACGGCATCTCCTGCTTTGTGGAGGCACTTGGACAAAAATGTGAAGGTCTTCATAAATCACCTTTTGACAGTGTTTTTCCCTCAATTCATCAGAATTGAACGAATCTAAAACTACACCCATCCCCAAATCTAAAACTACATCGATGAAAATCCCCAGCCCTAGGTAGCTGAGTAAGTAGGCAGGTGTATTACGTAGGATCACTAGGATGGGTGCATGACCATAGCCCAAATTTAATAGGGAGCTTTATCAGCGAGTACGAGTACGAGATTTGATCGCGTGCGATCGCACGCAGGCTAAAATCCACTACAAAACCATAGCCTCATCTATGAGCAGCAATACACGAATTTAGTGCAAGTAAGTCAAGAATAAGTGGGGTTAAAAACCAGCCTGATATTTATAGTATTAAATAGATTATTTGTCAATTTTTGTCGCAATTTTTATTTCAGAATTTTAGGTTTGCACATGACTAAAAGATTTCTCCAAAATTTGGTACTCAGATAGGCGATGGCTACGACTTCTTCCCGTCAATACGGGATGTGGCGTAAGAAGTCTAAGAAATTTCAAAGAAAATTTCAAATCAGATGCCTTGGTTCATATAGTAAAATATTCCTAACTTTTGTATATTGCAAATAGTTTAAGACATGCATGTTCTCCTGAATTCTTTGAACTAACCAACTACTAGTTAATTTTATAGTTTTGACCCTGCATGTGTAAACTAGCATCAGCTAACTAAGGATCCAATCAAATCTGAGGACCTAATTAATAGCGTGCATTTCCCTGGCAGGCGGGTTTTTTGCGGGCAGCGAGAAATAGGGAGGCGAATGGTTTCCAAACATGACCAATCTCGTACTCATTGTTGCTGCTAAAGCGCTCTAATTTGTTTGCGCCACGGAGTAAAATTGAAACGCAATATATAACAACAACTATCCTATTATTCACAGAGGAAAATCTGAATCCAGTGCGTATTACCAGCACAGAGGTGTACGACCTTCAGGAGAGGATGGAACACTTACAGACAGTACGAGCGAGGAATTGGAGTAAGAAAATGGCGGAGATGGGAAGAGAACGAAGTGAACTTGGAGATAAGATTACTTCAAGTTTGAAAGAAATTGAAGAGAGCTCTGGGATATTTCTCATTAAACCTGTTTATTCCTATGTCTCCATGTATGTATTTATTTTGAATATTTACTAGCTTCTTCCAAACTGTCACTATTATTAAACTAAGGGTTATACCCCTAAGTTTATGCCTTCGAAAAAAGTTTCTGAAACGTTCTCTGATCGTAAAATGTTTTTAACACCAGCTTTCGACTGCCAATCTGCAGTCTTCGACAGGTAAATAGAGAGTTTAAGTTCGACTTCCAATACTAATACCGATACCAATATTTTCACTTCCGTTCTCATTTTGGTACCGGGAATTATAAAGCGTTAAGTTATCACGACAGATAAAGTGTAGAACACATTAATCGTCACCGAAAATGTGCGGTATACTAAACGGCAGCTGAGCTAAAATTCCGACTAAAACATGACTCAGGTGATGCTAATAAACAAATAGTTTACATGCTTATCGTAAAAATTATGAAATATCCGATTTATATGAGTTTATCTTACAATTCCCCCGACTTCCAATATAAGGCCGACTTCGGTAGTGGTGACTTCCAATGCACTTGTCCTCGTGCTTCTTGCGAGCAAGAGAACATGCGCATGACATGTTGTTAGTATCGATATTGGTATCGGAAGTCGAACTTAAACTCTCTAATATGCAGACTGGCAGTCGAAAGCTCGTGTTAAAGATGTAATTTCTCAAAAAAGGTACATGGTATAAACTTGATATTTGCCGCTGTATTGGTGTAATGTACTCAGGTGAATAAGATGCTTTTGATGTTACTCTGAGTTTATATCCACACCGGGCAGGCTTGAAAAATATGCCTGGCCCATACTCGAACCGACCTGACCACGTAGCCATACTCGAACCGACCTGACCACATACTTGAACCGACCTGACCACGTAGCTCAGTTGGCAGAGCATTGGGCTAATATTCCATTCGTATAGATTCGATTCCCACCGTGGCCAGGCATATTTTTCAAGCCTGGCCGGTGTGGATATACACTCAGAGTATTTTAAGGCGGCATTTGATTAACTTGGCTGGAATTAAAATTTCGGAAGAAAAGGAATAAAACATTTTCGAATTGGTCTATAAGTTCGATATACTCTCAACTAAGTTTATTTTAGACGTGTTTTACCTGCTCTCTGACCTCAGTAAATGGGTTTAATTTGTGTGAGGATTACGAGTGAAAACCTGTCTGACATTATTGTTTGGTTGTTGTCAACTCGCGAAAATTCATATTATCTCATTTCAGGCCACCGGAAGTAGAAAGGTCGTCGCATCCTGTCATTTGCAAGAAGAGATCCCCTCTGTCTGCAGAGGTACCCTCGGAGAACACTAGTAAACCAGGTTACCCCCTCGAGACCACACGTACCCCTGGTTGGACCTTCAGACAAAGTATTGACCGACCAATGTGGATTGTAAGTGGCTATATTGTATTTGTTTTCTGTGGAAAAATAGTCGTTTCTCATCCTCATTCCTCGTTATCCTAGCATTTGTTGTTAGAGGCACAGTGTTTAGTCCATGGGCTTTTAACGATGTCCAGATTTAGTCGATGTGCTTTTTAACGATCGATGTTAAATTCATCTGATAGCCAAGCTGAATTGCGAAGGACCAAGCTTAACCAAGGGGGCGCTTCTTTCGTCAGCTTATGACTAATGTCTGATCACGGAGCGCAGCTACGGTGGAATGATCTGTACGGGACTAATCCCAACTCATTCTGTCAACATTTGTTGTGGGATGAAATCAGGATACCCGAAGAAAATCCACGACTTTTGGCAGAGCGTTGACTGACTCTTTCTACATAAGTGTCATGAGTCCGCAGCCAAAATTGCACCCACGATCTCAGAGGTGAAAAGCGCTTTCTCTGACGATTGCGCCAGAGCAATATGTAGTTCCTTGTTGTAGGATTATAATTTCGTCTTAGTTCTATGTGAGAAAGATGACTTAGTTTCCTTCCTGTTCTCCAGTTTACTCTTGTGGTAAAACAATACTTTTTTCCTGTGTGAACCTCCAGAAAGAACAGTTTAAAAGTGATACGTTTCATTTCAAGTTTCTTCCTGTAGTAATACTTGTTCAATAAGGGTTGGATGGTCCTTACTGGACATCTTAGAAGAAACGTTTAGAACTGACAGAAATACCAACTATAAATAAAGTTAGTTTAGTTAATTTTCTCTTGACGTGGTCCAATAGGCCTAAGGGAAAGCTCTTCCAGCACCTCTAGGGAGAACAGATTAGACATTTTTGAGCTATCCAGTATAAATTAGCGTACTCTGGTATCTATAACTCATACACTGCTTTTGTATTTTTTAGTCGAAAGACTCTCATGTAACTGACAGTGGAACACGTTTTGATGATAATCCTATGCCAAGATTACTGGCGATGGATGTTAACCGATTTACACTTAGTAAAAATCTCATCAGGTAACTATTTTATTTTGCAAATTTTTTTATCATAGTATAATGATCATGATTATATATGCCGTATTTCCGTATACTTATGTGTTTGTCTGAATTTTAGTGGGTCTTTTGATATGAAATCAGGTAGTGGTGGTGTTCGACAATACGTGACTGTAGAACGACCTATTGGAACTAGCAAGCCCGTTCATGTTGACCGTAAGTTTGTAGCAAAATCTTATTTGTTAACTTCCAGTTTTCTATTGCAAATGCTCTGATGTGATTTATACTGCTGACTGTATGAATCCCCAAGGCACCCCATTTCTTTTACTCTCGATTTGTGCGAACTTATGGTCGTCTAAGAAAAATCTCATAAAATTCAAAATGGCGTCTTTTATTGCTTTTCGTCTTCTGACCCTATATTCGTCGTTTCGTTGTCAGAATGCACAAACGAGATGAGACAGGTAGGTATCGAGATATTTAAGGTATTTATGATATTGTGTGACTGTTCTGAATGTCGTTCTTTTGGAACTAAATATAGATTCGCACAATACATATAATTACAGTATGTACACATGCATATACACAAAGCATACTGTGGATTAGTAACTTCTTATTAACCGAACGCGAGGTCTGTACAGAGAAATATTGTTTCTTATTGGTCTTTTCTGTAGAGACCGAGCCCGTAGAGCGAAGTTTGTACAAAAAGACCGAGGTCATATATTTTTCTGTACATACCGATACCGGGCAAGCGAGGTTAATAAAATGTTTATTATATGGCATTTATACTTGAAACAAACAAGAAATGCATGATTTGAAATGCATATTAGTAGCGTGGTACACATTTGGTCGAAGAAAACAAAAAATACCAATGTATTCCTTCTTTTCCATTGAAAACCATCCGCAGATCGGTATGACATCGAATAATTTAACGATCTTTATAACACTTAAAATTACGATAGTACGACAAAATAAAACTAAAATTGTTAAGAGGGAAATTATGTTGGCAGATAGTACTCCTGGTATATGTGGAAGAAGTTGTTTCGCTGACCTCAGAATGACATTTCGTCAAATTTTTTTTCTTCAAGGTTGGTTTAGAAACAAATTTGGATTAGGGTTAGGTTAGGGTTAGTGTATGGATTAGGATTAGGGTTAGAGTTGATGTTTGGAATAGGGTTAGTGTTAATAAAACCGTTGCTTTGTTACGTTTTGTCACTCTGAGGTCAGCGAAATAATCTCTTCCCGCATTTATGTTGATGTCGTAAAAAGCGAATCGGGTGTCGTGTAACTGGACCTAAGTACAAGATAAAGTAAATCCAGAATTCATGAAAAATTAAACTATATTTCTAGGAAGTACCAAAGTGCCAACACCATCACTTCACACGTTTCCAGTCGACAGCTGCGCCTCTTCTCCAGGTTCTTTCACCCCTTATCCTCCATTACCACCCATTAACCTTCCACATTCACATATATCATCAGCTACCTCCGCTACGAACCAATCAGGATCCTCCCTTTCTCTGACGTCATTTGATGAAAACTTTGCTCGATGACGAATTCCTAATGCTACCGTTAGTTGGTTTGAAGCAAGAATGAGTGTTTGTTATGTTTAGAATCTCAAAACCCCTTAAACAGCTAACTCGTGTCAATCCCTGTTACCATGCAACAGACCTTCCTCATGCAAAATAATTCACAACCTTGTTGCGTGCTTTGATTGCGCAGTCTTGTAAGTACATTTGCCGATTTTTTTGTGAATGAATAGAGTAGCAACTGGCTTGGACATGCGTTAGCTGTTTGCTGAACACCGCTGTCAAACGTCCGCGTATCAACTTCTTGTATTCGATAGACTAGAAGTAGTATTGTCTTCACGAACTCTAACAAAGAGTTTATGAAATTCGCGAACTTAAAAAGCGATGAAGTTCTTGTCATGAGGTAACATTTGGTAGACATTTTTTCTGCCATTTTCGTAGAATTGCTCTTGACGTTTGACCGCGGTGTTATAGTCGACTTGGGGCAAGTATAATTGTGATATTGTGAAAGTAGAATAACTTATTTCTAAAGCCCACTAAAGATGAGCAAGCTTTTGGCGAGATTGCCTTCTCGTGTGCTCGGCGAGTATTTTCTTTTTTGGCCGTAACTGGCACACGAATACTAATTGCCGTGTTCAAATGTTACTAGCTTCCGAACAATCATACTTATCAAAAAAAAAGTTTTCAATCTTTTTGTGGGAAGGAAAACTTGTCCAGAAAAATTTGCTCGTCCGCTCAGGGCATACATGAAGTACTTAAAGGGGCAATGTCACCGATTTTTGACCTAAAATACCGTTTATTCAAAAACTGAACTACAAAGTTAAAAATAAAGATTGTAAATGGATTAAGTTATGATATATGAGCCATATTAAACAACTTTGAACTTCCACGAAACATGTAATATGACATTTTCATAAAAAATGACTAAAACTTGAAAAAGTGTCTGCCAACAATTAATCAAGATGCCATTTACAGTCCATCTCAATCCTGGCGTAATCTTGCCCATCCAGACTTCTGTACATGTTTTTTGTGTCTGTTATTGCTTTATTTTATGCTTACACTAATTTTTTTTCAGTTTTGGGCAAAATTTGCGATGGTTGGAATTGCCCAAAAATCGGTGACATTGCCCCTTTAATAATTATCGATACTGGTGACCATGGTTCAATGTTTTGTCATCAAATGACTATAAGCTAAATTATTTTTATTGTAGATAAACTATATGTATATTTGTAAATACGTGCAAAATTATTTATATTTTTCAAAAAAATAAGTATCATTGAAAAATTCGTTTTTGTGTGTGTGTGTGTATTGATGTTATGTACCAGGGCCGTAGCAACCGGGGGCCCCCAATAATTTTCTAATAATCATTCTTTTTTCAAAATCAGGCGGACCTTTATCATTTAATCCATGACGAACTGCAAAGAATGAAGATATTACCCATACTTTCCTGCAACTTATCCAATATACAGTTAATTAAATACGCCTTCGCCCATTTAGTACCATTTAGTAAATTTCGACATACTAAAACGCTGTTTTCTGACCATCAGAATTCTGTCAAATCTTCCCCAAAGTCCAGGAAATGGCATTTCAGAGACTCTAAATTTTAAAATTTCCTCGGGCCTTCGGCCCTCGCTTTCAGCCCTC